TTTTTCAATACAATAATGTATCAAGCGATACTGGACTATGTCCAGTAGGGGTTTAAGATAAATAATACTCAGATTTTACTCTCTCAAGCCCATATTACATGGATCACTTTCGTCGGAGGCAGAAGTAGATGACACTACAATCTCAGTACACTTAGAGCGGCTTTGCAAGGAAAGTGGCGGTCCATTCCAACAGATATGTACCAACGGGTGGTGATAAGTGTTAGTAGTAGAGTTCGTGTCAGAGGTGAGCCCAACGTAATTAAAATGATTCACCATCAGCGAAAAACAATATATTTTTATCACGATGACCCAGTAATTTTGTTAACATGGTATCTTTAAGACTGCAGTTAGACGTTGAACTCTAATATAATTGAAGAAACCATATTTGTATATTAAATTATGCAATCAGAAGTGATGTATCTAAAAAAATAAGTTTATTGAATGTATTATATACAAAGATGATATTGGAAACTCAATTTATAAGTAAAAATACAAAACAGAGTTGTTTTATTACCCTCAAGCCCTCACAAATATACATATATATGTATAAATACAGAGATGTTTATTCAAAAGATGTGGGTAACAATATCCAATAATTTCTTCCTGTTATCCCTGTGTCCTGTGCCTACACTGGTTAAAAGTCTTGGTCCTCTGCAATTGTAGATAGCGCCTAAAATCGACCCATTCTGAGAAGATTACATTAAAAGACATTCTCCTATTTTGGGATTATAAAACCAAACGAGACAGAATTTCGAAGACAGTAATATATTTGGTACTGAGCAATATCAGTAGGAGCCTTCTTTGGAATTCACGTGTCAAGGATTTATGTCTACAAAAGGCGACACAAGAGCAGTGAGAACACAGACTTCTTTCAAAGCATGTAAACAAACAGATGGCTCACTGTACACCAGATACTTTGGATGGAACAATTAGAAGTGTGACATCACTTTGGACAAAACTTGGGTGTATCGTCCTGCTGTGGTACAACACTTTGGACAAAACTTGGGTGTATCGTCCTGCTGTGGTACAACACTTTGGACAAAACTTGGGTGTATCGTCCTGCTGTGGTACAACATTAATGTGGATTTATGGTTGAAGGTTATAGCTCTAATGGTAAGTTAATGTCAAGTTGAGCTCTACATATTATCACTTACCATGATGAGATGCCATATTACCATGTATTTGATACCAATAATGTACGGACTCCATTTATACGTCCACATTCAACATGTTAGTTCTTCCAAACAGGAATTCATGCTATAATATTTGCAGATATGAAGCGTCTGAACCTTTTTCTGGTTTCTCAAACGGATCCTCGAAAGACGTTGTTTGTGGACGCTGTAAAGCTTGTAAAGAGTTGTTGGTGGACGCTGTAAAGCTTGTAAATAGTTGTTGGTGGACGCTGTAAAGCTTGTAAAGAGTTGTTGGTGGACGCAGGAAAGCTTGTAAAGAGTTGTTGGTGGACGCTATAAAGCTTGTAAAGAGTTGTTGGTGGACGCTGGAAAGCTTGTAAAGAGTTTTTGGTGGACGCTGGAAAGCTTGTAAAAGAGACAACACTGATTTCAGTGAGTTAGTCCTAAAGTTGATGTTCCATTGCAAGACCATCACTCGGAACACCATCGACGGTGGAAGCAAGAACTGTAATGGGCCCATAGGCATATACACTCAATGGGCCTATAGGCATAGACACTCAATGGGCCTATAAGCATAGATACTCAATGGGCCTATAGGCATAGACACTCAATGGGCCTATAGGCATAGCCACTCAATGGGCCTATAGGCATAGACACTCAATGGGCCTATAAGCATAGATACTCAATGGGCCTACAGGCATAGATACTCAATGGGCCTATAGGCATAGACACTCAATGGGCCTATAAGCATAGATACTCAATGGGCCTATAGGCATAGATAGTCAATGGGCCTATAGGCATAGACACTCAATGGGCCTATAGGCATATATACTCAATGGGCCTATAGGCATAGACACTCAATGGGCCTATAGGCATAGACACTCAATGGGCCTATAGGCATAGATACTCAATGGGCCTATAGGCATAGACACTCTTATAGTGTGACGGTAGATCGTGGAAAACTCTCTACCTATATTGTGACTCGTCTTGGCCTGGATGTTAAAGCAGGCGGACGCAGCAGTCTGACATTATTAACTGTATCTTTACCGAATATCTGTCTGATGCGGCAGAAAGACACTGTTCAATGTTAACAATGTTTTACAAAGCGTCGTACTTATGTAGGTTAAACATTTTAATATTGTAGTTTAAAAATAATTACTAGACATTCTTCCTTAACAAATATCATCTAATGTATAAAGACGAAATGTGTGTTTGTTTGCACCCTAACTTCTCCGAGCCCATTGAGCCAATATCAACCAAAATTTGTATGTAAACACTATGAGCTATGGGGAATGTCCTAAGGGGATCAAAATTGAACTTAACCCTATTTCTATTTACTAAAGCCCGTTGGTTAATTACTCCAAGCCCATTGTATCGATCTCAAACAATCTTGGCAGGTTGACGCTTTAGTCAATGTTGAATAATCTAAAGGGATTCAAGATCAAATTATGAAAGTTGCTGAATTGTTTCTCAAACAACCATGTTTTTCTCCTGCTCAATGAGATGTTGAGTGTTCAGGGGTGAGATCACCTCAAAATCCTTATTTCTTGGTAGATGGAAAGCAAACTGTAAATGTTGTTTATGAAGAAACTTTTGTTATAATTCTAAAATTTTGAGATAAAGTTTATGTTCAAGTTATTACTTTGAAATACTTTGTTAAACTTACATTCCTTGTCAGTTGACAGGTATTTCAGCTTATAACCATTTAAACGTAACTGTTATTTTTTAAATAAATATTCCATAACGCTTTCTGTTTCGAACTTAAAGTCTGACTGGCAAAGTAACCTTTCGATCAACCCTAAAGCCAGAAAACATTTTCTACACAACCCGAGAGTTTACGGAGACAGAAAAATTATACACGAGTAAATCCTATCTAGATATTTTCACCTGAACTTTACAGAGAGAGAGGATTGCCCTAAACAATGGGAATAACGAAACCGACTTCTTTCTTGTTGTTGTTTTACATTTCTTGTAGTTGCACGTGAAGCCTACCTTCCAGCGTATGAATATCTAAGTAACAATCGAAGTAAGTCATAGAGAAATACATTTATACATGAATGAATTTGATTATTAGCAAATAATAAATAGAAAATTATACATTTTAAAAGTTAGGTTTAGTTGTCACAAATGACGTGTTTAACAATGTTATAAGGCATTTTAACGTGTTTAATAATGTCATAAGGCATTTTAAGATGTGTTTAACAATGTCATAAGGCATTTTA